AGTTTTATTGGGTCACCCGGTACTACTCCGCTAAAATTTGTCGGTGCAAACGGTGCACATAATTTTAATATGATCTTTTTCTTCGCACCCGCCCATTTCCCACCTTTAACAGATCTTCCCAAATGCTCCCCGCATTACTTTCAGCATTGATTAATTTTTAATCTATGCTTTCAGTGACCTTTCTACCTAACCTCCAAAAACAATAAAATCACGGTCTGGATAACACCGGTTCTTTTAAAACTTTTGGTTTCTATTGTTGTGCTGCCTTCGCCAAAATGTAAATTTAAATTATGTGGGAATTTTTTTCTACAATTTGCTGATTAGCATCTATTATAATGAAGTTTAAAAATAGTATTATACTATTACAATTAGTAGTATCACAGATTTAAATATACTATAAATCTGTGGTAGTATTTTCGCAACTCATGACCTACCTATTTGGCAAAAAATATATAGGTATATCCAAGTATGACGATACTGATAACGGAATATTTGTGGCATAAGACACTTATTCTCTATTTTACAATTGCCGTTTTCTCTTAGGTCTTGGAATCACATGCAAACACATCATACCCCGACTCGAAGACCTAGGTCACTACAAACTACCTCTATTATGTAGGTTATTTCCGTTTAAGAGTAGACGACCTTTATGAACCTTCCAGGTAGTTCGTGGGTTATTCGGACAAGCAAACCAAAGGTAAAGTCGCAAATGTAAATCCATGGAAAGTCAAACAAAAATAGGAACGAAGGAGTAGTGAAAAATTGACGAATTACAAGCTCCAAAGTTAATGTGATCACTGGCTAATAATAGTGATTGACTTTTAAGTACGCGCAAGACAAATTCCTGTAGCAACTTAAAAAAACTGCATAAACAAACACCCACATCAACCCCAAGGAATGAATACGGTACGTAGGGGTAGGTAATATTCTAACCGCACTTGTTGAATGGTTGTGGAATGGCAAATGCCTACTGCGCCACTAATAACAACACACCGTGTGAATGAAAACGTTAACTAATGACCACAAATCTCCTTAATTTATTTTGAAATGGGACGCTACTAATGTCATAGAATGAACATTTATTAAACTGTTCGTTTGGCTAGTGTCACAATTAGAATCAATAACCAGTAGAAGTAAAACGTAGTGTTAAAATTCTTACCTGATCAACAGATAATCCAACATAATCAGACACCCACGAGAATATCTGACACCCGTCATAATAAGAACTGGGATTTGTAGCCATTATTTGGCAAACAAATTTATAAACAGTAAATTCGCAAATTCGTCCAAACCGAACAGCACAAACTAACAATGAGAATAAGACTGAAACAGAGTTGAAGCGAAGCGCGTGAGTAAAGCGAATACAGCACGATTTGGACTACCTCTACCCCTACCGAAGGAACCGGCTGTTTTACACCGACAGTACGTTAAACCGTAGTCGTTATCTGCGCCAGCGACAAACCGACAAACGTTTATTATCAATTATCCTTATCATACGTCGAAAAAAGCGCACTGTTAATGAACAGGTTGTGTAATGGTTATAGGCGATATAAATAAATAAAAGCCAATATTTATTTTGTTGCTTTTATTGATTACTTCACAATAATACACGTTTAGATTTCTAAATAAATATTATGTCTATCCAAAGGCATACTGCTCCAAACATTCTATGAATTTGTGATAGTATTATTTGATGAATTAAAAACATCATTATAGTGGAAAATTTACACAGTTCACAGGACAATGATAATTAACGTTCGTCGGAATCGTTTATAGTTTTGTGTCGTCTGTCTGCTTGTTTTTCCGTTGGTTCTGCTGTCCTGTGCTCCACAATTACGTTAAAAGTAAAATACAAATGTTTATCCCTGAATGAGAGAGGAACGGTATCGATTTCCTGATACGATACGCCGAAGGATAGAGGGGCGTGTTTAGGGACTGACGGGTCCAAGATGTGTCAATATCGTTAAAGTCTCTAAGGTTAGCGCAAGGATTTCGAAGTTGACCCTTTGCAGAATATAAGCAAGAGGCATACACCAACTCTGTAACTGCCTGTGTTTCGCTTCGCGAACACGGGCCCATACCTATAAGGCGCCGTTTGTACTATGCGATCAAAAATGAGTTGCTATCGAGTTACATGTGTCGATTTACAATCTCTGTTTTTCTTAAGATCCGAGCGACTTCCGGAATAGGATCGTGCCAATGTTAAACGAAAAGTCTTTTTGTTCAACATTGACACAATACTCCCCCGGAAGTCGCTCACATCTTTAGAAAAACATAGATTGTAGATCGGGATCAAGTGTTCTCTGACCGGCAATCTTTCCTGGCGAGAAGTTTAATGAATCGAATATAGGTATTATAAAACAAAACAAATATATCAATAACTTTTCGATATAAGTATGCATTCATATTTTTGAATATAAATACACTTAAGTTTTATATATCTGTAGGATAGCGACGAATAAAATATAAAAACATCAGCTTCATATACCTATCACCAGTGGCGCTACAGTAACCTCAAACTTGGCAACAGCGACCAACGTTTGTTTGAATTTGAACAGCAGATTGGGGTTGTTGTTTTGAAAATGGATGTCGAAGAATTTCTATTACAGTTGGTTTGACATTATGAAAAAACCGAGTAAAAAACACACATTTCAGCAACAATTCTTAATTCTGATGATCGATCATAAATTTTATCCGGGTATATGTACCTGTAAATTAGAAAGTAACTGCTCTACATTAATGAGTCTGATACAACATTCACCTAATGATCTTCAGCAATTACTTTTAAGAATTTATGTGAGGTCAATTTGAATTTGTATACATGAGTACAAACAATATCTCGGCCACGGTCATCTCGGCGATTCCCATCCCGGCGATGACCATCCCGGCACCGATTTCCTGGCCACAAACCACCCCGGCGACGGCGACCATTTACTTTCCGGCGACGGCGACCATTTACTTCCCGGCTTACGGTTATCCCGGCGATGGGCAATCCCGGCTTCGGTTGTCCCGGCAATTTGAACTCTGCGATCGGAGGGATGGAAAACATTTAAGACGCGGTAAACATGTGAAGCAAATTCATGTTTATCAAATTGAAACAATTCACCGGAATTAAGTTTTCTGATTTGCTATTTTATAGAGTGTGATTTTTCCTTTTTAGATATAATATACAATCTGAATAGGGACTATAGTATCAAATTGAAATTATGCCATTTAGGTAGGTAAAGTTTTCTGGTATCTACCTGCGTATATGTAAAATAATGATAAAACGCAATTTAAAAAAAAATGGGTCCTTTGCACCGATGGCAATTGTGTAAACAACACAACTTATTTGAGCTTCCTTTCCTTGCACATTTCGGTCTCCTATACCTATTTCTAAGCATTAATTACAATGCGTCCAGGCACAATAACAGTCACTTTCGGTACCAAATTTGACATCCGCTTCTAAAGCATAATTATCATTATTTATGTCCAAAAAAAAGAGAAATGAGGTTGGACAGACGGTGTTAAGAAAGTCTGCATTGCCGGGATAACCGATGCCGGGAAAGTAATAGTCGTCGAGGTAGGCCGTCGCCGGGTGGGCAATCTCGGCAACAATGTAGGTACATTTCGGCTTCGGTCGTCCAGGCAATTTGAACTCTGCGATCGGAGAGATGAAAACACGCGGTGTTCGTTATATTGAAACAATTCGCCGGAATTAAGTTTTCTTATTTGTTATTTTATAGACTGTGATTTTTTTTCTAGATATAATACAAACTTAATAGGGACTCACATACTATTTTTTCTGAAATCGCAATCAACATCGTCATAAATTAAGGAATTTTGATAAAAGTATACCAATTTTTGGTTACCGTCTTATTACCTATGAAATGAAATCGTTTCCTTGACCTTGACGACGCGTTTCGGTCCGGGAAAGTTCGTTGCTTAGTAACGAGCTAAAGTACTGGATTTGAGTACAGTGACTCAAATACAGTCACTGTAGTCGCTGTCCTAATGCAGTCACTGAAGATTGGTGTATTTTGAGGTCTGAACAATTTCAGAAACACGCAATTTTCTAAAAATGGGCCTTTAGGGATTTCCGAGATATTTATTAACAATAACGAACCACTAATTATTTTAAATCGCACGAGGCCTTTTTCAGCGGGAGGCCTGGAGCGGCCACCCCACTCGCTCCACCCTAAGGACGTCTCTGCATATAACGCTACAAGTCCTTTGCGAATTGCGCGGATACCAATTGTGCAAACAGGACAGCTTATTTGAGCATCCTTACATACTTTGGTTTCGTATATTTCTAAGAATTAATGACATAATGCGTCAATGCACAATACCAATCTCTTTAGGTACCTCATTTGACAACCACTTCTAAAGTACCTATTTCAACATTTATGTTAACAAAAAACAAAGGAAAAGGGGGTTGCCCAGACGTCGTTAGGAAAGTGAGCATTGCCGGGAAGGCAATAGTCGCCGGGATAGGTCGTCGTCGGGTATAAATCGCCGGGATGACCGATATCGTCATAGGTGATAGTAATGGGCGCCGGGAAAACGGTTCCGGGGTGTACGTCGCCGAGATGTACATCGCTCCGATGGGATGCGCCGCAATTCCTCTTTCTCTACTGTAGACTCGTCTGGTCATCTCGCACAATAAGGGCCATGTAAATAAATACCACAATGGCTTATCTGCTATCATCGATCATATTATATACTTAAGTAATTCATACCTGCTGCTAATTATTAGGGGATCCGTCCACAAATAAACACAATTTAAAGCGAAAAATGGATAGAGTAATTCGGCTGTGGATCACTGGATCTACAATGTATACTAATTAATGACTAATTAGGGGAAGTATGCCTGAGACGGCATACTTTTTTTTAATAGACTATAAATTTTTTTTTTTTATATTAAACTTTTGTAGACATTGAAATAAGAAGTACGATATGTGATCTTAATATATCTACATTCAAAATTTAAGTTTTATTACTTCTAGCATGTGTTATGGTTACATAAAATAAATCTTACGAGTGCCATCTCACCCATACGCTTATGGATGAGATGGCATAGATACATTTTAGGCTTTACAAATATCACAAATGAATGTTTTAAATTTTTTTTCTGCACCAGCACACTCTGCGTGGCACCACTGCCTACATTCTTGGCATTGCACCCACAATTCATTTGAACGGGAACGAGAATACAAATCATTGCAGTATATACACGATACATCATTCTCGGCATCTTCTCCGGCAAAAGGATCTTCTTCGCTACTTTCTTCCGTATCTTCATTTCCTACAACAATATGTTTCTGAACAGCTCTACCAGATCTTCTCAAGGGTTTATCAGGAATTTCATTTTTGTTCTGTACATCTCCTTCAACAAGAACACGTCTCTTAGCAGCCTTTGCAGATTTTCGCAAAGCTTCGGCAGCCTTTTCTGCGACTAGATCTTTTACTGCTTTTATTTCGGGTGTACTATTCAAAAATCCGTACTTTCCTCTCCTTTTGTTGACCTTTCGAGTAGTTTGTGTAGTAACTGGCAACGGTAATATATCTTCAACTGAAATATTCATGATATCTTTGTCAATATCTGTAGGAAGTTCTTCATGAGAGGTTCCAGCTCCTACTTCACCAGATCCAGATTGGTCGCCATCATCTGTCACATTTATAGAGTGTTCTTCTCTCTCAGGAACATTAGTGACCTCTGCAGGAGCAAACATATGGTCTGGGAATATATCTGGATTATACGGAAATATTCCCGTGGCAGAATATCCATTTTGGGCATTTTTAGCAGTTGCCGCTTTAACATAAGCTTCATTAAATATGTTAGTTACCTGAAAATGAGTGACAGTTCGTCCTGGGTGGTTTCTCAACCAGTTATTTAACTCTTGGTTGTAAAATGTGGTTAGTGGTCCGTAGAAGCTGACATCAAGTGGCTGCACCCTGTGGGTGCAATGTGGTGGGAAACAGAACATCACAACTCCAGACTCCTTCGCGAGCAACAAAACATCCAGGTTTTTATGGCTGCTATGGCCATCGAAGAGGAGCAGCACCTTCTTTTCCGCAGTTGGTTTTGCAAATTTGATGAAATGTTTCATCCATTTCAAAAAAACCTCTCCGTTCATCCAACCATTTTCCTGTGCGAAACCAACCGAACCTGTAGGAGCACCATCCATTAATTCATACTTCATATTCTTCCTTGGAAAAATAATAGCCGGTGGTACGAATGTGCCTATGACATTCATGCAACACGCGACCGTAAAGTGTTGTCCCCGTTCAGCACTAGTGAGAATCCCAACCTGCTTTCTCCCCTTTGTAGCGAAAATTTTACTATTTCGAGAGGGAACGGTAGAGAAGCCAGACTCGTCCACATTCCATATATCGTTTGGTTCAAATTTATATGTGTCTAATACTTCGGCCAACTTTTTGAAATATTTTTTAATTTGCTCTCTGTTGAAAGCACTGGCCCTAGCAGCCGATGTAGACTCAGGAGTTCTAAGTGATATAGTTGGGTTTCGTTGCCTAAACCCCCTTAGCCAATCCCAACCGGCCATTTTCTTAGAGGATGAAAATCTGTGAGGTATTTTCTTAGTTTCAGCTATCTGATAAGCTAGGCTTCTCACATCTTTTGCAGTTAAACCAAAAAATCGGGATTCTAAATTTCTTAAGTGTTGGACTATTTCTCTTTCCAAATCTTCATTGAACGTCACTTTATGGCCTCCCATGTAGTCTTTCTTCCAACCTTCAACTTTGGCAGCGCGACGCCTTAGTGTTGTGAAGGGAACGTTAAACGTTTTTGACGCTAAGAGCCAACCCATTTTTTTTTCACGAACGGCAACTATGGCTTGCTTCATATTTCCCTCATCCCAAGAATGTCTTGATGATTGTCTTTTATAGCGCCCCATGTCTAAAAATTAACGGGATATCTAGAAAACTATGATCTAACTAACTACCTATTTGGTAGCTACTGCTTGTTGATGAGACGGCATATGTCAACTCACCCATTGATGTTGTATGCCGTCTCACCCCAAATTGCATGTTCGTTTAATTTTAGTTACACAAAAACAAAAACATTCTTACAAGACACAATAAAGTGTCAGTAAGTTTCTTAAAACCATATGCAACTATACATAATTTCGAACCCACCTTATATTTATTTGATGAACGAGATTTTTACAGATATATCTCACGTACGCAAATATTCACGCACAGTCGCTTTAGTCAAATGCGCACAAATTGCGATTAAGATGCCTGGCCGTTATGGGATTTACGCAGAACATGACTCACACTTTACTCTATGGTTTGAGAGTTTTAAAGGCGGAAAATTTGAAAGGAATTCAGAAATGCTAGTAGTATGCCATCTCATCAACTATGCCGTCTCAGGCATACTTCCCCTACCTATTTTTCACTCAACCTCAACGTCCATAGCCATTCCTGTTAACCTGCCGCATAGGCAACCAACATACCATTCATTATTCTTCTACAACCGCACAACTTTTTACATTCACTTTCAAAAAATAAAAAGTGCACTTTTGCGCTCCGCCTGCCTGCCTGCCTGCCCGCCGCCTGCCGTCCCGCACGCCCGCCCGCCGCCCGCCTGCCTGCCTGCCTGCCTGTCTGTCTGTCTGAGTCATAAAGGTTCCGGAACGACACGACTAGTGACTTAGTATTGGTGTCATTCGATCAGAAATTAAAAATTATTTCATGTTTGTGTTCTCATTAAGGCCTGAAATGTCTATAAGGGCTATTAAAAAGGAAAAATCAAATTTGAAAGTGCACTCTTCGCCTCTTGCTCACCATTCATTTCTCATTACTGGCTGCCCTAATTATTTTAGAGATAAAGTACATTTAGGTTTTTTGTAGAGAAAAAAAAACGAATCCATCATACTAAGCTTCTAATTTTTTGAACTTTGAAACCAAGAAATTGGATAATTTAAAGTTAGTGGTGCCATTGCAGTTTGATATAAAACAATTACTTATAGCATAGCACAGATTAACTATAGGTAATAGGTTAAATTATTTAAATAATAAATGTCAAACTAATGGCAAATGCAGGCGCTTTTGTTTGATTTCATAATTGCATGGCATTACCGACTTTATAAACGCGACAGTTTTTAATTATTAAATTTTTACTGTTTCTGAATTTATAAAATAAGATAATAGTATGTACGGATTCGTAATTTTTTTCTCGGTAAAAAACCTAAACAGACTTTATTTCTAAAATAATTAAAATGGTGCGTTCGTCAGGTCACCAACCCTTATATCCAAAGACCATACTACACACCTTTGAATAAGACTACAACTACAAGCATTCAATTTATAACTATTATAAATTCAATGTTAAGTGCTACAAGCAAAGCTAGTATGATCTTTGTCTAAGTTTAAGCTAAGCGGTAAAGCGTGTGCGGTGTATGTCCAAAGATAAGGTGTAGTATTATCATTGAATTTATAACTAAATTCAATGGTATTATCACAGATTAAAGATTTAAATATACTGTGGTATTATCTCATGATGCTAATGTAGAATCATGGTATTATTCATTGGTATTATCTTTTTTTATTCAATGTCTTTGGTGTGTCTAAGAGCGTGTGCTCGTGCGCGTACCCATGCTGCTATCGTGTGGTATTTTACGGAAGCACAGTTTGTAGTATGGCGCGCTGTGTTTTCGATCTCGGGAGCAGCGAGAGATGGCAGCACCAGACCGAGAAAAAGAATACGCCACGCTTCGACTGTTTCAATTACCAATGTCATCGCCGTCTCTAGTGGAGTAAGGCAGGCCTAATTCAATTCGGCCCGCCAAGTTACATTAAAAATTCGAATTAATTATTATAATTAAGTATGTTACAGGTGTAGCATCTAGTTTGAAAGCCTCGATGAAGATGCATTTCTTGTTTCAGAGATTGTTATTTTCCAGAATGTTCGTCGAAATACATACCGGGTGGGACAATAAAACGACACTTGTTTTGGGATTAAGCAACATTTTAAAGCCATATATTGCAACAAATCTTAAGGGCATAAATGAAATTTTGGATACAAGCTGAATATGCAGATTTATTATCCACGTCTGGTAAATTTTGTATGCAAAATCGTGTCAATTTTCAGGAGTATTTATTTTTTTTAAATGAGTTTTATAAAAGCAAAAATAAAAAAAAATAAATAATTATTGCCTATACTTTTTATTTTAATTGTCAACTTTGGCCCGTGGTGCATATGAAAAATTTTATTTTGGCCTGGAATAAAGTATTACCTTTGAATAATATTTTATATTCAAAGGTATTCCGACCGCTCTCCATAAGGGTGTAGGGGGGCGAGGGCACATGACCCTCTTATGTACCTACCTATCGTCTTTGGTCGTGTTACAAGCAGAATGTCTTTTACCCTAGAACAACTGGTTTTCATTCTTGAAGAGAGATATTTTGCTACAAAATCGTAGGTACACGAGTGAAAAAATAATCATTTCAAATTAAATTTGTTAGTGTTGCTCCGCCAGAAAAATAATTGGTACCTTTGTATATAAAATTTTATATTCAAAGTTAGTACCTAGTCTAACAAACATATTATATTATCTGTTACAAATTGGGAACAGGGCTAAAAAGTCACCCTGTATATGTACCCTCTCTGTAGGCTTGCAGCTGAATCTAGTCGATATTTGCAGCTTAGATTACAAAATTATCCGGTTGTTCGAAAACGTATTGCTCAAAGGAGTTTTAAGCTATAACGATTGAATAAGCACCTTAAAGAAGTATAACGCCCGTGTTAACTGATGAAATAAGAAAATCTGCCCAGGATTCTGTCGTCCCTCTGTTGTGGGGGAAAGTGAACCACAAATTTAAAGCTAGTTACCGACTTTAGACAGATTTCTTTACTTCTTTAAAATTCAAACCTTGCCAGATTTTTGGCAAGCGCTTTGAGTTTGAATAAACTAGATTAAAATATTGAATAAGCTTTTATTCAATGCCAATAAGGGAGGATCAATCTGAAATGTAAGATCATAAGGAACAATAAATAAAGTAAAAAATGTAGTTTAATTTAATAAGAAAACAACAAGAACTGTTCTAAGGACCATTATCTTTACATAATAAACAATCAAACTTTACCTAACTCCATATAAGGATCTGGTAAATATGACAACACTGTTCAACTCTGATAAACAAGAAAAACAAAGGGCCCCTAAGTATAACTGGTTTCCTTGTTTAAAATAGTCATTATTTACCGCCCGAGGCCAAATATCCTTCAATATTTGTGGTAATTAACCACTTTGCAGTGTATGCAACACACCTTACACCAATTTCAGGTTTTCCTATGTAGTTATAAGAAACACCCTCGACCTTGAATGCAAAGTCGCAAACAGCTTACTAGCTTACAAAAGAAGGATAAAAGTTGGGCTTCGATTGTAGTCCAGGTCGGCAAACCATCAGCTTACGGAACTGCTTTCCTTATTTTGGAAATATTCCATGCTTCCCCTTTCAATCATTAACTCTTCTTCATGTATAATTGTTGGCGCCGACGCCAAAGTGAGGTGACCAAGGAATAATTGTTTCTCAATTTGATGCTTCATAAAAAACAGAATTGTCAGATTTGTAGAATAAAATATATTGTGTGCAACTGAAATATTTAATTCCTTCGAAGCCGCTACGATATCCAATCGTGTGTCAACATGAAAAATAGTGTAAAAACCAGGTGTCAAATTCTTGACAGAATAGCTTCCTAGCTGAAACCAAAAATTGCCAACATATGTTTTTTTACGCATGCATTTTGTTTGCTTTTATTAGAGGGACCTACCATCCAAATTTCGTTAAAATTGCTCCATAAATAAGAAAGTTGGATGTTGCACATGCGCAACTCGATTTTTTGCGCATGCATTTTGTTTTCTTTTATTAGGAGGACTTACCATAGAAATTTCGTTTAAATTGCTTCAGAAACAAGATCGTTGCGTTTTGCACATATGCAACACAATTTTTTGACTTTGACAATTTTTTTCTCCGTTTTTTGATAATATAACCCGGCCCAATTTTTTGTAGGTTGTACACAGGAAAATAAGGTCTTCCAAATAATAGAATAAAAATTTTAGGTTGCTATTTGAAAAAAAAAGTTCGATGCCGTTACGGCGCTCCAAAATTTTTTTTTCAAAAATCCGGCCCGTTATTTTTCTGTTCGGTATGCCTAAAACATATATACAAAATTTCAACAAAATCCGTCGAGCCGTTTTCTCAGAAAATTGCCAACAAACGTACGTGTACGTGTACGTACGTACATACAGACGGAAAAAAATTTTATTCTTTAAAAGTTGCTTAAAATGGTCTAAAACGTCGACATTTGATGAAATTTTGAAATGTTCAAAAAACGGCTATCGCAATAGCTACCTAGCACATGCTAGGAAGCTAAAAATCAACCCATGCCACTAAAGGCATTCCGCCGAACCGTTGGTTTTGAACAAGCAACTTCTCACGCCGACACAGCCCGCGTGACGCGTCGTTACTCGTTTTTCTGCCAGAATGTTGATACGTCGTCGAAAATCGCCAACAAGAACTCGCCGCCTAGCATCTCATTTGAGAGCCAGGTCTACTACGAGAGAGTGCGCGTCGCGAGTCCGAAGTCTCAAGTTCGGAAGGCGATCAGAACGCATCTGCTATTGTCATTCCCTGGAGTCAACAAGTTGACGACGAAACAGAGACCCAACAGCTTGGAGACACATCAGGAGCCGGACATCTTCCAGCATTAAATGCATGGGTTCGCCAGGGCTTCGTTTCTCAGAAATAGAGTCTTAGGTTATCAGGTAGATAGTTTCAATTTTGTAAATCAATCTATAAGAGCGCTAAACCAGAATGTGGTTTAGAAGGACGTAAAACGCCACACCACCGTCTAGGTACTACACAATGGCTCTTCCGCCCCAAACTGCGCCATCTGTAGAAAAAGTTTTTGTTCATCGGAATCAAAACGGGGGGAAGGTACACCTACCCGGAGAGTTGATGTACTACAACTATCAGCGACCGACGTCTAGCTGAACTGAATATTGATGGCAAACGCGAGCCGATTACGTTACAGTGGACAGGAAGAGTGTGCGAAAAAAGAGATGAGGCTGGCACCTGTACTCCCTCGTACGTTACTTGCTTGGGTTATTCATGAGCATTCAGGTCTACTTGTTTTTTGTGGAAAAACGAGAATATCAAATTGGCAAACAACAAAGCATTTGCCTTGAGGAATCGTCACTTGGAA